TTTATCTTCTCAACCTTATCTCACTCTTTGTTTCTTCATACAACCCATACAGTGGGCTTACTGAAGTACTTAGCATTCTGTAGTAATCCCCTCCAAGCTGTTTTCCACCATCCATCTCCACAGAGCTGAGTCCTACCATCATGCTTCTTCATCCAGCTCAAATCAAGTTTTCCTTGACGTTTTTCCAAATGCCCCAGCTAGAGATACTTTCTCTCTCCCATATTCTGCCATCATACTTTCTTTGTACATCTGTTATAGTACCAATCAGTCTACCTTGCATTATAGTTATGGGTGAATGTATGGGATTCCCTAGCATTCTGTGAGGCCCTAATTTCATTCCATCTATTTCTCGCTGTACTTGTCACATAACAAGGTTCAATTGATCACTGTTTTTATGAGAAAGGATCATTGAGATTCTAAAACTCCAACTTACAAAGAAACACAACTAATGTGCAAATTATGCACTCTTTTCCTTATTATCTATTTCACTTATCTTTATCCGCTTACAACTCTTATTTATGTATTTTTCTAATGTTCACAATACGGTTGTATGATGGTACACAAAATTTTAGAAAATTCTTTGAAGATGAATACTCACCATTATTTTTATTAATTGGGTATGTAATAAAAATGCTGAAGAGCAGTAATATAGAGTCATAGGATTGAAAATTTGGAACTTGAAAAAAGAGACTTTTTTAAAGATTTCTGAAGCCTTTCTACTAAAAAGAGACTTCTTAGAAATCTATGATAACTTGTCTTTCTACAGATAAAAGACTCTAAAACAATGATTCTCAACCAGAGATAAAGAGCACCTGGAGCCTGTTAAAAATGCAGATTTTTGAGCCTTCCACCCAGAGATGGATTCTTTAAGTCTAGAGTGAGGCCCAAAATGCCAGTTGCCTTGAGAGATCAGGATAGCATCTCAACACTACTGCCATTCTAAGGCCAGATAATTCTTTGTTGTAAGGGGCTGTTCTGTCCTGTGCATTGTAAGATATTTAGCATTATCCCTGGCTTCTACCCACTAGATCCTGGGAGGACCCACTCCACTCCCCATCTATCTACTAAACATGTCTCCAGATGTTGCCAAATGTCCCTTGGAAGCAGAATCACCCCCGACTGGAACCAGAGATAGAAGCTATCCAAAGATGACACACTTTGAGAAATGCCATCCTTAATCAGAAGGATAAAACAATATGATACAAGAAGAATATGGGTATTACAAGCATACATTGTATAAAATGAAATAAACAGGCTTCCCATAAAGGAAATCTGATTAGCCACTATAAACTCCTGACAACTCAGCTAAGCTTCTAAGTCAAAGCTCTTCTTATGTAATTTCAACTTGAAGATTTTCTCCCTAGCTTCTATTTTAAATTATTTTTAATTAACTTCACTGGCATTTTGCATCCTGCTATGAAAAGTCTGCCTAATAGTCTCAGAGGACTCTCCCAAGAGAGAAGAGTGCATTAAATCACACATTATCACATTAAAATATATTCCAGCACTCACAGTCCAACAGTCTAAGTCTTGGCAAATGCAATGGGGTGCGTGGGGGGCGGGAGGGGGGGTGATACAGCGACTGGAACAGGCTCAAGTGATTCACAGTATCCAAAGCCTATTATCTCCAATTCATCCATCCGTAGGAAAGTTATATTGATTCTCTACTTCAACCACATTTATCACAATGACATATATTCTGCAATTTGTGGTTCTACCCTGATTTCTACTGACTGCATGAGACCTTGGCCAAGTCACTTAAATTCTTTGGGCATCCTTTCTAAAAAGTGAGCCATTTTATTTCTAAAAATCCTTCTAGTTACAAGTCACAAATGTATGAATGAAGCACTTAATTAAAAAGCTCTTTCCACTGCATGGATTCTGGTAACTACTGCACCAAAAGGTAAGTACCTACACATTCCATGTTGATAACAACAATGAATTTTAAGATGTCTCATCCAAAAAAGAAAAATAAATGACAATTTGATGAACCACAGACACAAAAGCCACTCTTTTTAAATTTAAATTCAGTGAATTAACATACAATGTATTAGGATCCATGCTCTCTTAAAACAAAATTAAGTTTGGATCAAATCATCCTTCACCTACTAAGACATTTATGCAAGTACTCTGCATAAATAGGGAAAGAGTTATAAATACATGTTTACGTTTTATTTTCTGTAACAGAGATAACAGATCAGCTGCCTAGAGGCCATTTCCAGCCTGAAAGTGTAGTTGCTTTGTTGGCCTGGACAAAAATTGTATTTAATCAACTGCCAACTTTTCAAAAGGGAGAGACGATACATAAAAATCTGTATTTCCAGTGTCTCTTGAAATACTGGAAAACACTAGCCCCAATGGCAACAATGAGCTGGAGTGGAGCCGTACTGCCTCCTGACCCATGCACCGTCCCACCGCCCGCAATCCCTGCTGCTCCCTATCTTCTGACACCTGTCCTGGGTCCTGGTTCCCTCTTATAGCCTGGAGCATATGAGCTTATGTCCTTACTCTGTAACAATTTTCAAAATACACAGAAAATATTTTTAATGCTGTCAAAGCAATAGAATTTTCCTTGCAGAATCACAGGAAAAGAGTAGAAATTTTGAAGGGAGAGAACTATACTTTTAATACGAAAAACCTTCCTAACTCTGAATGCTGATGAGTAGAACGAGCTACACTTTGGGGTCTAACTAACCATCTGAAAGAATGGAGAAAGGGATTCTAGAGTTGATGGTGAGTTCACTAGAGACCCCCTAAAATGTCTTTTAACTTTAACATTGTAGGTCCTTAGTTAGCAGTGTGGATATCTCACCATAATCCAATAATATACATATAGGTTTTATCTTGTCATCTATGTATCTTTGCTTACAAAGGAAGACTTGACCTTATACGTTCCCCTCATGAAAAAGTATTTTCTGCTAATTTTCATAAAACACTCCATTTTTCTGATTTTAATATATAAAAATTTTAAATTAAGTTTCCATTAACTAAGCAGCCACAACTTACCAGAGAATGATTAAACTATGAAACTTCTGAAAGTATGGTAAAAGAATCCAAGGACAGAAGGAAGAGGATAAAAACTCTGATCATCAACATCAGACTTCTTAAAGTATGGTAAAAGAATCCAAGGACAGAAGGAAGAGGATAAAAACTCAAGCAAGAGCTTGAGAGTAGGGTGCTCTGTGAGCAAAGCTGCTCTCTTCACTAATGTCTTTATCAATAAAACCAACTTAAAAACGGAAGGCAGGATCTTGAAGCTTTTATTCTACCCAATGGCTCCAATTTTTTTTTTCTTTCAATACACCTTATGAAATCTGCTTGTTTGAGACATGATATTATAACAAGATTCTGAGGATTTTCCTTTTAAAAAATGAACTTTATATTACACTTAATGCCTATTTAAAGGATGTTGTGAGTCAAAGATCAACTAATAAAAAAGCAGTATGTAACTATGTTGCTGATGGTAAGTCAATTTTCAGGTACAATATAATCCAAGAGTTTCCACACTGATGTGTTATATGCAGTCAACTGCAGCTCAGACCATTCTAGATGCCCACTTCTTAGTGTCAGATCATGTGGTGTTCTACAGCACTGCATCTGCATATATATTCAGTACCACTGCAAGTTCTGACTCTAAAGATGCATTAAAGTCAGACACTGTAGGTATCACTATATTAAATCAATTGTTTCTGTAGTATATTTGATGTGGATTTTGACATAAGCATTGTTTAACAATAGTGATTAACAGCTCAAGTGTGAACATAAACATCAATGAGTCGATAAGACTATGAAGGGCATGCCTAACCGGAAAATGACTATGTTGACAATAGCATGTGCAGAATGTGGGCTGCTTCTGGGAAAATATGTTGATCATTCAAGCTCTCTGATTTGCTCTATTTTCTCTTTAGAAAAAAAAAATGAGTCACTGTTTAGAAACAAAAAGCAATGATAAACATAATTCAATTTAACAGCCCTGAATACCAGAACATTCTAATTTAGCCATGGATGTTTTCTGCTTTCACCTCTTCTGAATTCAACATTAACTTCTTCTTTTCCATTTCTGCTGCCTTAAAACAAAAACAAAAACAAAACAAACAAAAGAACAACCCCAAGAAGCTCACTACATTATTGTCAAAGAAAAAGAAAAGCTATCAGATATGCTTAAAATCAAGAGTATAAAGTAGGTTTCTGAGACCTGGAAAATTATTTAGCTTATATCAGTCCCAGAACTTTTTAAATTGGAGCCACCCTTAGAGGAAAATGCATCTGAAGAGTAAGGCCCTTGTTCACTGTCGTCATTGAAAACCTGAAGTATGTCACCTTCAAGAGAAAAAAGATACTGCCTGACTTGTTTATAAGCTTGTTAGGGATGTTTCCCACAAACAAGATTAGTTTCTTTACAGGTTCCCTGTGTTTACACTTTGGAAGAACACAAAGGAGCTAATTCATTCTTGGAAAGTGTTTCTTTTAAAGCATGTTTATTTCAAAACAAAAGAGTTATTGAAACATATGCGTGAGCCATTCCAAAGCAATTTGTCACAGAAACCTGGATCATCAACTGAGTCGCAGAGTGGCCCACAAGAATCAGAAAGATGAACGGACAGTGCATGCTTGTTCAGAAGACCGGGATCTGATGAAGACTCGAGAACTGAAGTGAAGCTGGGGAGGGAGGGATCCCACACATTTGAGTCTTAGGCCCCAAAATGCATATGCTTAAGAAAGAAGCAATCCTGTCATCCAGTTTCCCCGCAGCGAAAGGAAGGGGGAGTGGAAGGACCAGCGGACCCCGCCCTCTTATCCGGTTGTTGATCTAGGTAGGGCAGGAGTCCTGGAGAACTTGTTTGAGTAACACTAAGTGTGCAAAAGTTCCCAAGTACGAGGTGAGAATCCGTCCTCACCGCACCAACCTCCACCCCCCTCCCCCAATCAGTAAATGTGTGAACAAATTTTAAAAATGCAACAATGACAAAGCGGCTTGCAACTTGCAAGCAGGCACTCACCCTGGGCTGGGGCGCCCAGCCGGCCGCCGCCCGCCTCGGCCCCGCGCTGGGGCCCGGGAACGAGGGCTTCACCCGCGCCGGACATGGGCCGCTCCACCGAGCCCGCGCCGCGCTGCCGCCTAGCTCTCCGCCCCCGGGAGGACCACGAAGGGCTCTTAGGTGTTGCGTGCAGAGAACGAACTGCTTCTGGCGGACAAAAAAAAAAGTGTTTTTAGAGACCAGCACACCACCCCTGCGGGACATTCCCTCCCCCTCCGTTTCCCTCCCCCAAACCCCACCCCGGAGAAGTTTTGATTTGAAACCCAGGAGGAAAACTGCTACCCCGCACGTTGACAGTGGGGGGCGGGGGGAGGGGCGGCTGTGGGCGGGAGGCAGTGAAGGGGGGTTAGGGAAGGGAGACTAGATTTGGAAGCTTGGGGAAGGGGACCAAACCCCTCCTCCTCCTGACCCGGCAGACCACCACCTACCTCGGCATCCCCCCCCGCCCCAAACTCTCTCAAAGCCCCTTCCTCCTCCTCCTCCTCCTCTTCCGCCCGGAAAGTTAGCGAAGCTCCGGCAGCGGCCGCATCTCGCCCCAAGGGCCCGGCAGCAGTGGCGGCCGCCCGTGCGCGTCCCTCCCCGCCTCCCTCGGGCTCAGCCCAGACACTGCAGCGGCGGCAACTGCGCCAGGGGCCGCTCCTCTCACTCCGCGCTCTCCGCCCCCTCTTTCCAACCAGCTCAGTCCGGCCCGTTCCCCTCCGAGGGGGACTGTGCCCCCTCTGCCTCTCTTTCCCGCCACCCCGTCCTCCGCCCCTTCACTCCTGAAACACTTCTCCCTCTGTTGCTCTTTTTCATCATATCCGGATCGGGCGGCCTCGAACTCTTGGCGCGTGGCCCAAGGCTGGGGGCGGTGCAACGTGGGCTCCCTCTGCGCCCAAGCTGTCTGGGTCAGGAGGCCAAGCTCGAATGGGCTGGCTCTGAGCAAGGGGTTCTTCTAGGGGCTGGGAGAAAGGAGGGAAGTTGGCTGGTCCTCTGGCTGCCCGGGCATCTTCCTGCCCAGACTCACCCCAACCCCTCTCTCCCAGCCTTTCTTCCCAATCCTGTCCCAGACCTACTGGAAGCTCTGGGAACTATGTGAGTGAAGGAGAAACCTTTAGGGTGGACAACGCAAAACCAAAAAAAGTACAAATATCTCTCGAACTTTACTGGTGGATCGCAAAGGTGTGGTTTTGAAACCGTGACCCTTAGCAGAGTGTTTAAATTCTTACTCTGTGCCTCTTAAGTTACCTTTATTCTCTTTTTCAAGCCTTTATTCTGGTCAAACAGGATCCTAGATCCGTAAAACCAGTTGCACTTGCTTGGATCAACTGGAGGCATCCAGGCTGACGCGGTTGACGCCAAGGAGGACGCCGAGGCCCAGGGCCCCAAGCCAGGCCTACTACATACACACTGAATGGCTTCTGTGGCGAGATAAACTTGTGGTCGGAAGTAAAAAGCCGAGGGACTCTCAGACGTTCTGATTGTAGCTTAATCTGATGAGTCTAGAATAACAAGTACAAAGTAATTTGCAGATAGAAAGTACTTTAATAATACATTCAAATAACTTGTGCTCTTTTCTTCATTCATTGTAAGTGAAATGCAGAATTCATTTGTAAAAAAGGTAAAACAAACTCATTCTTTGAATCTCTAAAACAAGAGAGGAATCACAACCATGTTACAAAATCAAAGAAAATGTGCACTGGATATATCTTTCTAGGTGTATCATTAATTAATATCCCTGGAATCTCATTTCTTCAAAAAACCAATTGGAATTGATTGACAAGATCTGTTTCTTAACTTTAGAGTGAGTGCAACCAAACTTACTTTCAGTTAAACCTGAAAAACACAGCCTTTCAAGTTTCTGATGACAGTTATTCAGACCATACTCACCAAAAACCAAATGACATTTTCCCTAATGACCTATGACTAACACATTTTTTTTTTCTTCTGTTTATTGTTAGTGTAGAGGTTTCAGATATGGTATGCATAAAAGTGCCTTAACTTTCCTAAAAACTTGTACAGGGGCCTGGACTCTGGAATCTACTTGATGGGAGCAGATCAGCTCTGAATATCACTGCATTACCATTAAAGAATGAACATTTACAAAGCATCACTGCATACTGCAGTGTTATCTGCAATCAAAGGAACAGGACAGGAAGTAACCACTCTGAAAGATTCTGTTTTATCCCTTTCTTACTATTTCCTTGACTCCTTTTTTTTTTTTTTTTTGATCCCCTCACAAAGATGGTAAAGTCCATGAATATCAAGAAGTTATACCACTGTTCTAGAAAGTTATAGTCGGTGATAAGTATTTGGTAATTTCACAGAGTACTTAATGTTGCACACATAGTAGGTGATTCAATCAATTATTCTTGACTTTAAACATCTTACTTTTTTATGGGGAAGAAGTAAAATTTAAATAAAAATAGGAATAAATGTGAGGCTGAGTTGTAAAATCACCATGATGGTCAAACGCTGTATCTTGTTCAGTCGTGTGACTTTGGGCAACTTAGTCAAACTCTGCTTTGGTTGCCTCATAAGGTAAGGATGATAAGAGAAACTCTTCACAGAGCCTCAGGAGGGCTAGTAAGATAATTATAAAAATAATTATAAAATAATTAAAATAGAAATTAAAAATATAAAAAGATAATTCTCCTATAGCATGTCAGATATGAGGACAGATGCTCAAAAGTGTTAACTGTTATTAGACAGCAGAAGCATTTCGAGGGGTTACACTGAGCATGGCATGATGACGAGATCACAACGGCCACATCAACATACCAGGTAACCATGAATGTGCTTTACACAAACTTTCTCAATGAATTTTTACATCAGCTCCACCACTAACTTCCCAGGATTGCATTGCTAGAATTTAGAACTCAGACCTATCTGACTATAAGGCAGACTATCTCACTTGTTTAGGCAAACTCAGGTCTTCCCTCTGGAAGGTATAAAGGTGGCATCTGATAGACCAGAAATTAAGTGCAGGCTCCTAAGTGTTCCCCCAAGCTGCCCATTTACTCCATCCCTTGCTGTATTTGTTCATTCTGACTAATCGCTTAGCTTGGTTCCTCATGAGCAGCACTCCATGCCCTCATTCTCTGATTCTTCGATTCAACAAATATGTATGGAGGTGGAAGGCACTGTGGTAGGTGCTGGGGACATAGCAATGAAGATGATAAATGGGACCACTGCCCGTGGAGTTCACTGTCTAGAAGGAAGTATGGTTACACAACCACTTAACAACAAAGTTGCTGAGGGGCATGGCAAGGGAAGTTCTGGGATGCTAGGATCGTAACCTAGCTGGGAGATGCAGTCTGGTCTAGGAACCAAGGGAAAGTTCCTGGAAAAAATTATGTCTCTGCTAAGACCAGAAGGAGAAAGTGAAAAGAGGAGAAACAGACTGTTCCAGGTAGAAGGAGCCATGTGGGTGGCAGCCCAGAGGGTGGAGGGTAGCCAAGCATCTCTGAAGAACTGAAGACGTTCAATGTCAGAGGATAACCAATGCAAGGGGGGACGGTGATGGGGATGGAGCTGGGGAGAAAAACAGGGGTCTTACTAACCTTGAACAAGGAGAATTTATTGCCCAAATTTCCCTTTATAACAGCATAATGTGTAAAACAGCTTGGAGGCACTGAGACTAGAGCTCAGGAGTCCAATAAGGAGGGAAGGGATGATGCTGATGGTGGGAATGAAACCAAATAGAGACAAAAGGTGGGGAGCCAGAGGAATGAAAGGTGACTTTCAGCTTTCTGCACCTAGGTGGAGGGTGGTAATACTACCCATGGAGATGGAAACATTTAGGAGAAGCAGGTTCGGGAAAAGCTGCTGAATTAATCATGTAGATCATGTAGTGTCTGAAGTACCTCCGAGACAGCTAATTGGAAGCATCCAGAAGGTTGCTGGATAGGTGTTGGGAACATAAGCCCATAGATGGTACTTCACTGGCTAGAAGTTATGAGCGTCCAAGATGAACATGTAGTGTAAGGGCAGAAGGCCGAAGACACAGCTATGCCCTGAAACTCAATACAAGTGTGTCCTCACTGGCCCCTCTCCCTTTCTCCACAGCCTTCCCAAGGTCATAATCCTGTTTTCTCCCTGGCTTGAGAACCATTATTTAGTTACTACGACCGCCAGTACCCACCCAGCCTCCCAGATGCCCATGGGTTTCATATGATGGTCTTCGTTCAACCAGGTTTTGCCACGCCTCATACTGTAATGATCTGGATGGGTGGAAACTGTCCCTGGCGCCAGCCTTCCATTACAACTGAATGCTCTAGCCCTGATTCAAAGCCCTCTACCACTGAAATCCCAATGTGTATTGCAGCCATTTCTGCCTAGTGATATACACACTAGTCATGATAGAATATGTGAACATGTTGTCAAAGAAGTCTGACATGAGCTAAGCAGATAAAATGAACTAATTAAATGAGTTTATAAAGCATCCCTATGGACTACTTAATCTTCACCCCTCATTCAACATTCATCAAACATTTATTGGGCACCTACTATATGCTAGGCCACATTTAAGGCTCAGGAGCTAAAAATTTTGATTTAAGGTCTTGAAAAGCAGCTAAGTTAGTTTTCACTTGGGCAGAGGCTGATTAGCATAGCTCAAGTCAAAGTAACTATCCTCACATAGTAATCTTAACCAGAGTTCTAGAAGCCCACTGTCTCACTATGCATGCCTCCCAGGGGGTGCACAAGAGAATTCTCTGCAATGTGAAAGAATAATGAGAAAAATTTTTAATATGAACATTTGTATTTGTTTTTATTTTATTATTTGTAATTTCTATCTTTGAGTATGTTTTTATAATGTATATAACACATTAGTACAAAAGCACTTGTATATCATTTATAAGTATACATTAGGGGTTCATACTAAAAAATATTCTATCATTTCCTTTGTAAAAAAAAAAATAATGGTTTAAATGCTTCAAATCATTTCAGGTTCATCCATTCAGTCAATCCCAGATTGTACCAAGGTTACTTTTTCTTGAAAACATATATACCTACCTCATTTATGTGGAAGTGTGACTTTAGCAAACCCAAAACCCAGGGACATAGAAACTAGGAAATAACCCTAAGACTCTAAATACCAAAAATAATCTTCATGACCTTCACATCGTGCCAACACAATGGCCATCAACTTTCTCAAATTCTTTTTTTTTTTTTTTTTTGTGAACACACACCTCTAAGCAAACTTGATTTTCTATGTCTTAGCTCACAAAAAATTTAGGGCGCAGGGGCTTTGAGAAAAAGACATTAGCTAAGGGAGCTATTAGGTCAGAAAAAATGACAGCAGAAGAAATGGCAGATGACAGGGAAGATACAGGAAAATAAACACGTCATAACAGTGCCTTTGTGAATTCAGCCCAGTGAAACGGTGAACGTTCCTAACGAGGGTCTAGTCATTAAGGAAGATTCCGTTACATTAGTACTGCATTCTGTTTCTTGGGGAAGCAGGTCAGTATTTTTACATTTCAGGAAAAATTTCACCAAAAAATGTTCACATAAAAAATTGTTGCTGCTTGGAAGAATATCTTTCACAGAATTACATTTTTATAGCTGCAAGGGAAATGAGCAACCGTGATTCTAGGCCAATTTGTTTTAACTGTATTTCTCCACCTCCTAGTGCTTTCTCGAAGAGGAGAGTTCAAGTGGACAGGTTTCTGGAATCCCATTCTTATTTCAAATAGAGCGTTTTCCTCTTTTTCTCCATAACGTATCAGTCCTTCCCTTAAAATTTTTTAAGTGAGAAAACCCGTCCGTCTACTTTTTAAACATTTGAAAACTACCATCTTGCCCAACTCCTTCATTTAACACACAAAGGCATATAAAGACAAAGTTCATTAAGCTCAACAAACATATACTGAGTATTTACTGTACGTCAAACCATACGCTGCATACTTCCTCTATGCAAAAACTGAGGCAATAGGAGCTCCTAGTGTAGAATGCTAGGATTAGGGGCAGGCAGCAGGGTGGGACAGGGACAGGAACACTCACATACACAACAACCACAGGACAGGAGCAAGAAGAAAGCAGCTCCTCACCTCTCAGGCGTAGGTGGGGACAGTCAGGGGATGTTTCAGAGAGAAGATGATACCAAGCTGAGTATCGCTGATGAGTAAAAGTTTGCCTGTCAAGGAGCTCAGGGAATTCCAGATAGAAGGGGTAACGCATGCAAAGGCACAGGAGTGGGAAAGCCCCACAGAAGTTAAATGACTTGGCAAAGGTCGTTGAGTGGGTTCACTACAGAGCTAGCCCCAGAGCCTAAGTTTCTAGACATCCAGGCTTCCTGTTCCAGTTATCCAGCTGAGTCACGTCAATGAGTTCATCCTTTCTAAGTGATGGCGAAGAAAGGGCATACCTGATCTAATATTTAGGAATTCCTGAGATCTGCTGTTGTAAATA